CCGGACAACCCCCGGTGTGACCCCCCGGAGAACACCGGCGAGGGGGGGGGTCCGGTGTTCTCCTGCCCCTGCGGGGATTGTGGGAGGAGAAGTGCGCATCCGAGGGGGTCCCTGACGCCAGGGTGTCCCCTCCCGAGCAGGAGCAGAAGACACAGCTGGAGAAGGAGATATCCCGCAGCCGCATCCCCCGCCTGGTCCTCCGCCCGCAGCAGAAGGTCTCCCCCTCTTCCGAGTCTCCCTTTTCGGAAGAGGAGAGCCGGGAATTCAACCCGCCCGGTTCCTCCGGCGGAAGGACGCTCAGCAGCAACAGCTTCTGCTCAGGTAGCGCAGAAAGGACCACCACCCTCCCCGCCCAGTTGCACCAGTCCTCGCCCAGGGGGTGGGTCACGGTGGGTCACGCCGACCCCCGAGGCTTCGCTGTCACCCCCAGGCACAACATCCGCGCGTCGGGCTCGGATGGAGCATCCCGCTCTGCAGATGAAGAAAGGCAACCATTGATTTTTATTCTCTGGGAAATCCAGTATCTGTTTTTCTAATGCGTGTCCGTAAGCAAAACCAGATGTTTCCATCTCGAGTTCTGCTCTCTGCCGCGAAAAAGTTGGCGGTTTTACTGCGGCAGAATAGTTGCTTTAAAGAGAGAGATTTGCCTGAGGAGCTGCAGCGTGGGTTTGAGGCATTCCGAAAAGCTCGGAAGCCAGAGAGTCTGTAGAACAGGGGAGGTGCTATGAAGGGCATCATAAATGGGTCAGATACTGCCTGCCGTTCCTTTTAGTTTTGTGACAATGATCTCCATGCATGAGTCGGAACAAAATATGTAGGTGAAGTTTTTACTGTCATAGTGAAGTGAGTGTTGTTAGAGAATTCAGTCTTCTCCTGACAAGCATGTCGCCAGGCGTGAGCTGGGCATGACGACTTCTCTACAGAGAGGGCAACGGCTGGGTGATGCATCAGAAGTAAATTACCACTCCCCAGCTGCAGACCTCAGTCATTTGCTCTTCAGGATGAATATATCCCTTTCCCTGAAACCAGATTTTTTATGTTAAATACTTGTTCTGTGTAGAGTTGAGCACAATCTAAGTGCCTCAGCTAGCAGTGAATGACTCAGATACCTACTAGTGGTGAGTAATCTTTTAATTCAGTGAACCTCTTCACCGTGTATGATGTTATGCACATGGATAATGGCATTGAAGGTCACATCACAAACACCTTGGGCTCTACATGCATGTGGTAATTTAAAAAATATTTTGGTGACTAAAAATTTGGTTTTAATAGTCAGCATTTTGGAGAGCATAACATTCTCCATCTACCTAAACATCTGAATTAGAACAAGTATTTTTGTAACAGTTAATATCAGAGCATGTTCCTGAACTTCTTTTTTGTTTATTTATAGAGTATTTAAATTACCAAAGATTTTCCTGAGGGCAGGCAGAGACACTCATATCTATCTTTGTCTTCACTACAGTGGATCAGATTTTTTTTTTAATTCTTTTCAGAAAAAGCAGTGTGTTGTACACTGTGTACGAGAACAGTCAGTTTTTCTAGATGAGAAACACCATATCCATGTTTGAGGTTACCATTTCCTTCTTAGCTTGAATAGATTTTGCAGTTCAGGTTGAGTGGAATGATCTATTTGGTTATTCTTTAATGAACAATGCAGAGCGTTAAATAAACAATATAGGTTGCACAAATGCTGAAGTCTTTTCCCCATGACTTTTGAATCCCTTCACCTTACCTGTTTGAGTTTGCCTGTTGCCTCGTAAGAAACGAAGAAGTGAAATCTTTTGAAGCTTTCTAGAAATATATTATTTTTATGATCTCTCCCAAACGGCTGCTTTTTATCCCGATTTTTTTTCCCCCATGTGTTGACAAGCCTTTCATCCTGGGTACTGACATTCTTTTTAATTATATCTTTTGGGTTTGTATTGCGTTCTTCAGATCTACTTGACACAGACCTGCCAAAGTAAGACCCTTGCTGTCCCACTGCATTGCATGGGCTGTGTCTTGAATCCCAGCAGAGCTTTGTGTTTACTCTGGGTGTGTCTGATCTCGCGGTTTGACAGTTTTAAGGTGCCTTTCACAGAGGTATTCAGCAGTGCAGTGCTGCTCTCTTAACCTGCCTCTGAAGCACAACTGCTGATATTTTAATTTCCTTTATTCATCTTTTATTCTTCCACGAATGCTGCCTTGATTTAGTTTGATTTTTTTCCTCATGAGACCTTTGTGCTTCTCAGGCTGCCTGCAGCACACATACAGGTGTGCACTACCCAGTGTGTCTGCTGCAAGCCGTCAAACTGTACGCAGCCAGGAATCACAGAATCACAGAATCACAGAATCGTAGGGGTTGGAAGGGACCTCTGTGGGTCATCTAGTCCA